GGGGGGGGGGGGGGGGGGGGGGGAACGACAGGTCTCGGATACGAAGCCGACTATCGCCCTCCTTGGTGTGGGGTTCGTGTCCTGCTTAGAACTATGATTTAGCTAGTCAAAATTCTAATTTTAAGAGGGGAATATTGGTGTGATACATTTTTCAGAAACCGAAGGGGGGTTCAGGACCCCTCCTGACCCCTCCCTCAGAATCCGACACGGCAACATACATAAAAATCCACTTAATTTACTTATCCAAGATTGACAGAATTAAAGGGCAACATGATTGAGAGGGTCCCATTGGGTGTTTTCGTTACCCATGAAAGACAATTTTTATTTCCCGAGATGCGGGGAACATTCATTTTATTCAGGGCGATGCGTGAAGCACCCCATTCCCGTGACTCCTGAATGCCGCTTATTTTTCTCCATCCTTCGTGAAACGAAGTCATTATACATTACGCACGCACACACACACACACACACACACACACACATATAATTTCAGGATTTTCTACGCGCATTATCAGAGAGATATGAATAAACTGTGATTTGTAAATTGATGATTTTATTCCCCATGAACAGTGATCACCCCCCCCCCCCCATGGGACCTTCCATGGGATTTCCCGTCAAAATTGCGTTTATAGAGGTTCTCTCCACTTGTTTGAAATGCCCCTAACAATCACATTCATGTCCTGTGAAGCTTCTCATATTTACCAATTCAGTCACTTAAGACATTTAAACCATTAAAATAAAAATTTATCTAAAGCGTAACTTGTGTTGTTATTATTTTCTCAGATTCCTCGAGTAGCCCTTGCCGGCTTGCAATACCTATATTATACTAGTAGGCCTACTGAAGAGATTGCCCCTATTTTCGCGGTGTCGCCAAGTTAAAAAAACTTTTTATCTTTTGGCGCAGGCCTGCGTTTAAAGTTGTTTTATTTTTAAAAGCATTGTATCCATTAATAAGATATTAATCTTAAATTGAGTAACATACATGATAAGGTAGGGCACAGTTCAAGTTTTACAGGAAACACGGCAAAACTGCATTCTTTCAGAGAGTAATTTGCAAAACCTTCGTTACTAGGCATTGAAAAAAAAAAAAAACAAACAAACAAAAACAAAAACAAAACAAAAACAAAGAAGAAAAAAAAAAAAAAAAAAAACAACAACAAAAAAAAAAAAAAAAACAATTGAGGTTGAGGGCAAATGTACATATATGTCAGTAAAATAATTGCGTATCTCGTAATACCTACCCTGAGTGTTAGAGCCACTGTAAAGCTAGATTGTTAACTATTGAAACGTTTTGACGCGATAGCTTCACAGTGCTAGCTATTGCTGGAATTGCTGATATGGGTTATATATGATATCAAGATCGAGCTGGCAATACCGGAATCTAGAACCTAGGGTAGTAATACCCCATTAGTGGAGTTTAATTTTTGTTAGTATTAAAAGTGTGCGAATACTATCCAAAAGGGTTGTTTTTTTCAACTTTCATTACTGAAACAGCTGAAACTTTTTTTACTTCATACAAAATTTCCACACACTAGCAAGGCCAGACATTTAAAATTCTCCATGATTCTCACCAAAAACTGAATTTTTCACTTTACGTAAACATAGCCTTAGATTAAGTAAAATTTGTGAATATATCTCGAACTTCATTTTAACTTTTCTTTTTTTTTTTTCAAATAAACCTAAATATTGAGGATGATTGAATACATTTTCGTTCAGTATTGATTAAGAAAAAAAAATGACAACAAACTTTTAACGTAATCAATAACAGAAGAGACCTAACTGCAAAAATAAATATAAATACAAATACATAAACCACGATTGCGTTAGATGTGCCGCAATGTGCTTGCACAACCAGCACAATCTGGGTACATCATTTACCAGGCATTTACGTAATGCGGGTGTGATAATGCAGGGTTAATCCGTCAACAAGTAAACGAGTCATGCATTATAAACATAAACACATACCGCTCGTTTACCTGGTGATGAACCTACTTTGACTGGAATACAGACGTCTATTCCGACTAATGTGTAAGATATTAAGCATGGTCATAATGAAATTGTGTGTATTTAGTTACACTGAACTAGTTGAAAACAAATTGGTAATTTGTTTTTTTTTATTTTTTATTTTTTTGAAATGTTGATGATTTTGGTTAGAGCTATGAGCGATGCATTTCAGTCCTTACCAAGATTAAAATGAAGAAAATCCTGTTGTTGCAAATAAATAATTATTGTTTTTTTTTTAATTATTATTTTCTGCATGTACATGCAGATTTAAGTTTGCCGAAACATGAAATGTACGAAATTATCATTCCACGTATTCATGTTCTCGTTTGGCGCGGGTTGAACAAAATCACGAATACCACTATTTTTTCTCCCTTCCCACCTCAGTGCGTTTTGGTGTAAGGTATCAAGATTTGCCGCCAATAGCACGAAGTGGACATCTCATTCAACGCACCTGCTACCCTTACTCTGCTCTCCCAGACCCGTGACGTCACCCACCAGCTGGGGTATCAAACATGGCTTCCCGTCTCAATAACATAAACAACATTGCTCTAAATTCGTTCTCTAGACCCCAAATGCCAGCGAATTTAGTATCATTTTGTAGAAAACTTTTATCCTTTTTCATCTGATGTGGAATATGTGTATTTTCACCTTGTTTGATACGGGTACAGGTTTTGAAACATGATCAGAATCCTCGTCATCCATGTTACAGGGCCCATGCATATCAATTAACTCATCATGGCGACGAAGTCGGCTCGTCTTGTGTGATTTCGGGCAGGATTTCTAGCGATATTTCTACGTGTTTTACATCTTTTTGATGGTAGCAGCCCTTGCGATGGTTTGGGTAAGTACATAAATGGCGCAAAATTGAGATGGTAAACGTGTTTGGGCGAGTTTATCTGCGTGGCAAGGGCGAAGTCGAAGGTCGGCCATATTTGCTCAGTTTTTCCCAGGCCTCGAAATATACATCTGTGTATTTCATTTGACCT